GCAATTCTTAATAACATGTCTACTTCTTGAAAAGTACACAAGCACATCCATAAAAGAAATCATATGTACCATAGTCTTGAAAGAAATGCGTATTATAAATTTAACCTTGACAGTTCCCGCGAAAAACAGCCACCACCTCCAAATTGCTCCATTTTTTTGTCTGTGTTGTCTAAGGTGTTTCATTTAAAAGCAAGCCTATATACTGCCAAATAGAGCTCTTTTCGTTGTCCCCACACACCCAAGACATGAACTCGGCACCACTATATCCATCATCTGAACAAGAGGTAAGTACTACGCTGGATCTGACTTATTTTAGTGATTAACATGCATTAAGGCATATGTTCTTTGTGGGTCTTGTTCTGAATTGAACGGTATGTCCTAAATCAGTTAAATTTCTTTCCTCGAGCAACAATCAGCAGCAACATCTATTACGCCTGTGACAACACTGCCTTCATTCTTCTCGTTCATGCCCTTCCCTTTAACAGTGATCATTGTAAACCAGAGATTAAATCTTCCCATAATTTTTAGTGGGCGACGAGATGGTTTTTCCGATCCCGCGGGTACTACTCGACAATATCAATTGTTCATCGTTGTTGAAAAACTTAGCTATGTGCCTAGTTCACTGCATTCTCCTTACCTTCCACGATGACCTCTCTAACTTCGGTTCAGTATTTGACATTTTCATCGCAGATACTGACGTAGGGAGAAATTCCAAAATTTTTTTTCCATGTTTTTTCAATAACGGTTTAATAGGTTTGCCCGTCTTTTGTCAGCGACCTTGCTTCGGAGCCATATATCATTGCCAACAATGCGCCTGGGTGGAAGAAGTAGGCCAGTGTTAATCGTCAGTTTTTTTTGAGTAGGATATCATTGATGAAGCTGAACGCCCTCCGGTCTGATTTCCGCTCCTTCTGATTCCATATCTGCCTAGCCCCAATAGACTGTAGTTTATGCTATTATGCCTTCTTCATTAAATGCTGTTAAACATTTCTGCAGCGCAATGGATGACATGCACTTTGTCCTTAGTCGGCTGACTTTTGAATTTGTGGCTTTTCACTCGAGTTCTTAGAGTATTTCTTTGAGTTTAGTTATACTTCCCGCAATCAGCACAGCTTCATCAAACGAATCCCGATATTGTTTTCCCACGAGGCTTGTTCCTTCGTTGCACTCTGTTCACCTGAATACAATTTCTAGAAAGCGTCAAGAAAAATTATATTTCCGTGGTACAAGCTCTTCTGAACTGGGATATAGACTGGTGATCGCGCAGCGTGATATTCGTCACGAATCGACAGTTCGTTTCTTTCAGCAAGTTGTAGTGCGGTGAATCGATATGCGTCTTTCTAATACACTCACGTGGCGTGGAGCTTAAATACTTACCTACTCGAACACATTTTCGCAGAGATAAAATCACTGCACAGTGGCGATTGATATTCTCACGACGGAGATAGTCAAAGTAAAACTGTTGTCAGTTTTTCAGTGCTTTTAAAACTAGTCTGTTCTTTTGGGCACTCAGCCAGATTCTGGGCATTCCATTTGTAATTACCTTTGTCAACAGATTGTAGACATGCGAACTGGCATATTGAGAAACAGTTATTTTGATCTTCTAGAGTCCTGTTCTGAAGTATAAACTTGTTTAAATGATAAAGAAAAAAAAAGAGGTACATTAGGATGAATTGTTTTCAGAATATGATTTAAAGTCAGTGCCTCATTCGCCTAGAAATTTTTCCCTGCAAGACTCGTTATTCATACTATGATAGACTTTCTATTAGACAGGTATGCCTAAAAGGGCATTATCTTCTTTAATTCCGATGACAAGAGAGTAATGAACAATAATGGTATTAAGGGGACGCATGGCTATACAAGGCAAGAAATGTAAATCGCGATGTACAAACTGTAAAGAATGAAACTTTGAATTTTAAAGAAAGCATGTTAATTTATATGTAGATGATTATCAATTGCTGTATAACGCTACACATGGGCTAAAAATACAATAAAAAATATACATAGAGCTGTTCGGCAGTATGAACAAGTTACCGTAACACTTGCTATGAGTTAACTGTACCTGCAAACATATTCTGTAAACGCAGTTGCGTATGGTATGTTCACAGACGAACGATACGTGTATGAATGTTTCGGTCTTTTGAAACTTGCTTTTAATCGTGAAGTTTGTTTCCTGTATACTCGGCTTCAAAAATGGCATCGCCAAATCAGTCAACATGTGAGTTAAGCCGACGCCGTAATGAATTTTACATGATAGCGTTGTTTAGCAAAGTCCAAAGGCAAGATAAAGGGCAAAACTCTTGACATCAATGACTTCCTCGCATCGCAGCCTCGCTTGGACTGGGCCAAG